AAACCGTTAGTTAATGCACCTGCGCTGCACCCGTGACCTCCCGGTGCTGCTGGTACGGGAAGGCTCAGCCCGGGAGGAGGAGAGGTGGCCCCTCTTTTTGCTCCTGCGTTGGCCCGTTGGGACCCTCCACCTGAAGTGCTGCAACGCCTGTCCCCTTCCCAAAGGATGGGAGCAGCCCAGGATGCCTGGGACTCCCTGTAGTTGGACTTGGGAGCTGCAAGGACAAGCTCGAGGGGATGGGGGGGGCTGGAAGCACTCCCCAGCCTTGCACTGGGAAAAAGGCCAGAAGGGTCAGTAAGAGCAGGTGCCCCCCTGCCCCCTTCTGCGCCCGTTCTGCCTGGCAGGGTAGGACTGTCCCCCATTCTAACTGCCCCCCCTCCAGGGAGCGCTCCCGAGGAAGGGAGGGGGACAGACTCCTCTGTGGAAGGAGGGAGGGAAGTCTGCACACCCTTCTTGAGAAGGGAGACCGGCTTTCACGCGAAGGACGGCGGTGCAGCCTTCCCTCCCGTAGCATCCCGCATCATTCACCTCCTCATCCCTTTCTCCCCGCAGAGCCCGTCTCTCCCTCTGCCCTGGGGCTGCAGTTCCAGTTCAGCCGCACGCAGGACCAGGACGTTCACATCCTGCAGGCTCAGCTCTGGCTCTACCTTCGAGTTCCCCAAGACCTGGTAGCCAGCCTCACCCTGAGAATCTTCCTGGCTGGCGGGGAAGGCGCTTCGGTGGGGGGAAATCGCACGTTGCTGAGCGAGAGGCGGCTGAGCGCCAAGGGCAGCGGCTGGCGCGCCTTCACCCTGCTGCCGGCCCTGCGGAGTTTCTTCGGGGGAGAGCGCAGGACCCTGCGGCTGGAACTGGAAAGCCGTGGGGACGGGGGGGACATCAGGGCGATAGTCAACGCCAGCCAGTCCCACCAGCCCTTCCTGGTGGCTGAGGCAAAGGTGCGGGAGCCGGGACACCGCGTAGCCAAGCGCAGCCTCCGCTGCAGCCAGAATTCCAACCTCTGCTGCCGCAAGGACTACTACGTGGATTTCCGAGACATCGGCTGGGGCGACCAATCAAGCCTGAGGGTTACCAGATAAACTACTGCGTGGGCCAGTGCCCTCTGCACGTGGCAGGCAGCCCTGGGATGGCCTCTTCTTTCCACACCGCTGTCTTCAACCTCGTCAAAGCTAACAATATCCAGGCGTCGGGGCACTCCTGTTGTGTGCCCACGCGGCGGCGGCCGCTCTCCGTCCTCTACTTCGATCGCAATAGCAACATCGTCAAGACGGACATCCCTGACATGATCGTGGATGCCTGTGGCTGTAGCTAGGGTTGGGGGAGCAGTGACGGGGGTCCCCCTTCTCCAGGACTGTCCCTCGGTGGGGGGGGAGGTGAAGAGCTCCCTTGAGCCGGAGTCAGACCGTGGTGCAATGGATCCCTGTGGGCAGGATGGGAGGGAGGGACTCCCCAGAGGGAACAGGGATCTCTGGGGACACACGGGACAGAGCCATGGCCACATCGGGGTGTCTGAGTCTGAGCCATGAGCTGGTGGCTCCAGGGACCCCTGCCCTGACCGGCAGCATCCCTCTGGTCCCAAGCTGGTCCTGGTGGTGGTTCCCCGCTGTGTGTGGGGCCAGGAGACCCTGCTGTGGTCACATCTGGAGTGTCTGGTGATAGTCTGGGACTCAGCCTCCTTGAGAGCAGGGGGATGCAGGAAAAGGGTCTGTTTTCCCCCAGTGGGAAATGAGGACAAGAGACAGTCCCACTTTTTTTTCCTCTACTGTAACAAATCTTCCTGCATCAAAGTGGGGCCTATTAGCGGGGACAGGGGAAATGAGGCACAAATAACAGGCCTGGAAGATGAGGATGAAGGGTAAGACTTCATCACGAACCCCAAAACTGCCATGACTAGACACAGTACTCCCCTCCCAGGAGGGCATGGATCTGGGAAGGACGGCCTTGCTTCCTGGCCACATCCTGTGGATTTCCCCTTTCACTTCCCTGGGTTTTGTGCTTTTTCCCTGCTGCCCACCCCACCAGTCAGGTCTCTTCCAGCCCAGTGGCTCCTTACAAGGAGGTCTGACCCAACCTTGGCCTTTCAGATTGCACTAAAGGTACAGATTTTTTTGTACCTCTAGTTTTGCAGCTATTACTACTCTTACGGTAGAGGTTTCTGCAGCTGTTGGGACTCCCTGGTGCTCCATCCTGCCTCCCCAACTCCCTACTGAAGATCCCACTTTGCCTTCCTGATATCACGTATGCAATGCACCCACGCAGCCTGTGCTTTTAATTTATTTTAATACTTTGGTGCGGTATTCTTCCCCAATAAATGGGTGGAAATGCAACATCCGGGCTCTGACTGCTTTCTTCTGGATGGAGTGGGGGAGATGGTCCTGCTCCTGTCCAAGCCCCCCGGGCTCTGGCTGGGGGGATGCTGGGCGCTGGGGCTGGAGCAGCACAGGAGGTGCAAGCCCGTAGCCGCCGTGGGCAGCACCCCAGTGCTGGGAGATGAGGGGAGCTGTTTCCGGGGTTACCTGGATGCACGCTGAGACCCTGTGGGAGCAGGGATATGGTGGGGGGTGGCTCTTCCCTGTGGATGAGGGACTTGGGGAGTTAGGGCTGAGGCTGGGAATGGGGTACCACATCACTGGGGACTGGAGAGGGGTGGCCTGTAGTGTGAGCAGGGAAGAAGCTGTTTCCCAGCAGGATAGATGCTGTTCTCCACGTGGATCAGTCCCAGACAGAGCTCAGAATGCTACAGCTCTGGAGACTCTGGCCCCCCTGGGGTGACCTTAAATGATGAGCCACAGCCCACCCCCAAATCCTGTGCCCCCACCAGAGTTTGTACCCCAATCACATCTCCTAGGTCTCCCTGATCCCCCTCATGCTCCCCTGACCACCCCCCAGTGACTCCCAACCCCACAGCAGCCGGAGTCCGGTGCTTCCCAAGCTGGTGCGTGACGGGGAGTCCCCTGTGTCGTTTGGGGTGGGAGGCGATGCCCCCTGCTCATCCCTCTGGGATCCCGCATGGCTGGCCTGGGTCCCTGTTGCGCAAGCGCCTGCTCAAAGCTCAGTTTGGGGCTGTTTTATCTGGGGACAAACCCACTTGCTTTCCCAGCTTGGCCCTGTGCTGCACCCTGCAAGCGGACAAAGGGCAGCTTTCATCAGCCGGCCCCAGCGGGCATCCCCCCGGGCTGCGGGGGC